CAGACAAATTTATACCGGGCGGTGGTACCGAACCCTAAAAAATATCATTATAGGGTATACCGGGCAGTGGCACTAAACCTTAAAAAACATCAATGTATGGAATACTGGGGAAATACCAGACAGTGGTACTTAGCGATACTTAGTATATATTTCGGACATTTACTAAAGCGACTATGTGATTGTCAACATTCACCAGTAGAAGTCAAGAGCCATCAATTGCGGTCATTCACAGTAACAACTCTACTAGTCTAGGCAAATGTTTTCTCTAGTAGTTAAGACAGTAGACGCTGTAGTTTACTCTATTAATTAAGAACAAACGAGATCTATAGGGTTGTGTTGCCGCTGTGAAAATTGCGGCTCTTTTTTAGCCAAACTTATTTCACATTTACTTACACTTCAATGAATAATACAGTTTCAGTCAAGTTATTTTGTTATTATATAATAGAAGGTCAAAATTTTAGAATTTATAGAGTGGATAAGAATACACGAAACAGGATATTGGATAAAAAAATAGTAATTTGAATAAGCCGATTCGCAAGTAAAAATAAGCCAACCCATACGATTTTACCCATCGAATTTAGAATTATAATTCGAAACTGAAAAACAGTATACACTCTTCAACGATAAATTTTTCTCCAATAAGATTCGTATTACAACTAAGGGATCTTGAAATACAAAAGTCACCTTGAACATTCCATTTGATTTTAAACTGAAGTCGCGTGATTTTGAGCTGCGTCATTCTATCGCTTGGAACAGATTTAATTAACTGCATAACTCGGAATCAAAAGAGTAGGATGCAAGCAAAAGGATCAAATGTGTTTCAATGGTGAATCAAATATCAAATTCTAAACCAATAACCCAATTTCTCAAAAAGAAGATGAAACGACTCAAGCTTTTTGAAAACAAATTTACTTTTACTTTATTCGAACAATAAAGTAATAAATTTAAATAAACGTGTGAAAGAAGTTTGACTTGAAATTTTATTTTGCCCACCAACANATCAGTCTATGACAAGACTATCCCAACAGCTGGTATACAACAATTCATGATTAATTCGTAATTTGCAGGTTTTTTAAAAAACTAATTTGTATAAGTTGATTCGAAACGCTGATTTGAATTAGATATTATATATTATTTTTTTATAATCAGATGAATGATTTGAATAAGATCTTTGCTAAATTAAAACAGATATTTTTTTTCCAATTATATTTTAATGTACTGCTACAAATCAAATTCAAATCATAATATGTTGATTTTAAATATTAATTTGTATCACTTGATTGAAAAATCATTGATTTTAAGTAGATGGTTTTGATTTTTAATGACGTTTTACTCAGTCCATGATAAGCAATACAACAGTTCATGACCAATTCGTAATTTACAGGTTTTTAAATAATTAATTTGAATCAGTTGATTGGAAACGCGGATTTAAATGAGATCTATTTTTTACTTTAATCATAATTAATTTGCCATAAGTATAGCTAAACCATACAACCGATGTAGTTCGATTTATAGTTCATTCGTAATTGGTTGGTTTAGATAATTAACTTTAATCAACTGATTGCAAACGCTTATTCGAAACTGATTAATTTTGAATTTTAATCAGAATTCATGTATTTATTTTTTTAAATTAAAAAATTAGATTAATTTGATTTAAATCGTTTTAAAACTTAACGAAATTAAATGTAAAATTTGTTAAATTTTTAACACAATTATAACTGAATTATTATAAAAAAATTAATCGAAGCAAATCCGCTTCGGAAACAAAATTAAAGTATATTTTATAGTAATACATAAAACATGCAAATGCATCGCTAAAATTTATTGAAAATAGAAAAGTGTATCATTATTAACTTACAAGAAACTGGCTATAATAATTTCACAGATTTTCTTAAAAAAATATTTAAAATGAAAAAATTGTATGGCTTATGACTTAACAAGCCTGCAAATGCTGACAAATATTTCTATACAGAAGTTAATTTAAACAAAGGAAACCTGCTTCTATTTATATTTTTATCAGCCTATGAAAAGTCGATATATGCAGCCGATTTACTTCAATTTAACTAGAATTGGTCTTGTGAGGAATAAAATTATTACCTTGAATCAATTGATTAGAATCATTTAATCGAATAAGCTGATTATAATAACTTCATTTGAATGAGTTTATTTCTTTTACGAGAATCAGTTAATCGCACCTGTTGATTCGCGTATAACGCTCATTGGTTAGAATCTTATATTTAAAAATCCCTCAAAATAAACTATTCTTTTGAAATACTTTGATCATTATTTTTATTAACTTCCCTCTAACCACCAATACACGAGATCATTTGCGATAAAAAAAATAACATTCATTCATGGAATATACGTTTTATGTTCGATTGCTTTTGAGTTAATTATTTATAATTAATGTATAAGCTTGGATTGAAAGTTCTTTCATTCAAAAAAATGGGGAGAAACCTTCATGAGTGCGACTGTTATTGGAAGTATTTTGTTCCTTTCGCATTAAAAGAATAATTTGATGGTTTAGATTTAGCATTAAATAACGATATGATATCGAATACAACTCGAACATTCTTCGCACAAATATCTTCAGGGCAGAATTAATGGTCTAAGTTAACTGATTTTTAGAAGAAAAAACAAGCGAATCTTTATGCAGCGCCGGTGGAAACGATTTCACTATCGACAAAGTAAGGGGAGGATAGGGGTGGAGGAAGTGTTGAATAAAGTTCATAGATCCATCGATTTAATCTATTTTTTTATCCATATTTCACCGGTGGAAGATGAATCGACCTGTGATTTCCTCCAATTATGTGTCACGCAAGGAAATCTTAAGAGAAAACTAATGAAAAATGCCTCTCTATATTAATGATTTCGTTCTTTCAAATAATCCCGCACCAACTGATAATGCAACGAATATAAACCCGCAAAAGAACTCTCGGTAATTGTTCACAAAAATCACTAATTACTTGGGCTACAGATTACTAGCGATGACCGATCCCCATTTAATCTTTAACCGATTGGGAGTAACTACAACATTTTGAGCCTGAATTGATGATGTCCAAAAGTTTATAAGCATAAAAACATGGCATTTATTGGGTTGAAATAAATGAATTGTTATTTGTAAGGAAAGAAAGAATTTTATAAAAAATTATTTAGGTACTTTATTTATGTCGCACTAGAGCTGCACAATGGGCTATTGGCGACGGTCTGGGAAACATATCTGTGGATAATCCGAAGACACGCAATTTTGATCCTCTGCAGAGGGGGTGGCTCCCCTGCTTTGGTAGCCCGACGTGAAGTCGAGCAGTTTATGGTAAAACAGTTTAACGAGGACCGATACCGCGCATCCTCGGTTCCTATGCAGGCTGATCAAAGAGGTCACCCACCCGCTAATTGACCTCATCCAGTGATGATTGACATCGGTGTTCTACTGGGAACCGTGTCCTTAAGATCAGTCTGCTGCGGAAAAAAAAATTATTTATACAACGATGTTTTTATGGAGAGCAAAAAACGTCATTTTTAAATCATTTTATGAGAAACTTGTGCAGAATAAACTGAAGTACTGCTTGAAAAGTGCTTTGTAGAAACACATGTTAAGGAGGACTCCAAAATTCTCAAGGCTTTTTACACTCAATATCAGGCATATTCGCGTAATACATGCCCGAACATTTTTTCCGAAGGCATATTAATGAAAACACGTGAATGTGATGATCGGGAAATGGCTTGTCAAAAAATAACACTAACAAAATTATATTTACATCAACACTCAGAGTGTAAATCAAAAGTATTAAGTATTAATAAATAAGTATTACGCGTTGTTAAAAGGAGGTATTAAGCGCGAATAAACATTAATGAAGTAAATGCATAGGACCCTTTTAGATAAATAAGGGATATTATCATAACTATTAAACCTTATCAGCTCTACTGGATGTTAATCAACATGTTAGTTTAAACGTTTCAGAGCCTTGAGACGTGATCGTGTATTACTCCCTTCACGGCTGAAAGTATCACGTATAAAACGAGCCTTTCCGATTCTAACGGCCCAAAACCAATCTTCTTTGTCATTAAGTCAATCCTGAAAGGGTTAAAACGATTTTTTTTAAAAAATGACGTCGCTCTTGCATTTCAGCATGTCACTTGGTATATTATTTTGTTATACGCAGTTATTGGTCTAAACCTTTTTTTAAAAAAATTTTAAAAAATGACTAGGGGGAATAAAATAAGAATATACAGTTACTTTTTTCTACAGATTCGCTCTGATTTCATTTCATTTAATAAAAGTTAGGCATTTTGAAGCACATTTGAATTTGTTTTTTGCTTCTTTGCTGCCATCTCATTCAGCATCTAGGTGATTTTCATTAAAATCGAAGTGAAGGGAGCTAATCCACATTTTATAGAATTGCTGATTAAATATTTGCATGTTCAGTAGCGCACATAAGAGTGAACAATACATTCCCGATCCGAATTTTTACATACCCCGAGCATGTCGGGTAACATAATTATTGACCCCTGATGTTAAGCAAAATTTTGAAAATTCTCAATTTTCCAGGTTTAAAAACTGAGTCCCATAAAACACTGATTCTTGTAGTTTTACTAACCTGTAACTAAACCGGTTTTTTAAAAGAAAAAAAACCCTATTTTTGAAGCTTCATATATTAACTAGTTATTCAACTAAATTATGCGCAGAACTTTATTACTTTAACAGTATTCTTTTACATTTTCTAAATTAAAGAAAACGGAATAAAAAATTCACTAGAATGCACTCAGTGTTTTAATTTGCAGACACAAAACCTAATATTAAAATCTAACTCGTAGAAAAAGAAAGGTATCGAAACAATTAATAAAAAATTAAAGTTACTTTTAATGTAAAATAAAAAAAAAAATCTGGTATATGAGTCACAAGCTTTACAACTGATACACGTTACGCACGTCACAAGAGTTGAATTCTTTTTTTGTGACTGCAAGTAATGTTTGTTAAGATATAGAAAGATTTTACTCACCGCAGTTGAACCCTATGGCAAGCCTTCCCAAGATGAGCATTTCAAAACTGCCGCAAGATTTACTGAAGCACATCAGAGCTGCACCCGCTATTCCCATAATGTTGTTCAACAGCAGGCCGCCCTTCCTAAAAAACAATCACTCTGCATTTTTGGAGAATACATTTTAAAATTGTTTTTAACACATAAAATTTCTTACAAATGAAATGACTAACATTTAGCTTATCATCAATTGGAGATTTTTTACTAATGCGAGTCAATGAGATTCTCAACAGAGAATATATGAAACAGAGTGTACGTATGGATGGATGCGTGGCCTAAATTGAGAGTCAAGAGAATTCTAGACTAATTTACAGGTTTAGTTCCCAAAGGAGAACATAAAATATAGCCTATAAATAGATGAATAATGTACCTAAATTTACTTTCAGGAAATTGTCAGACTCATTAACTGGTTTGATTCTTAACGGAATACTTTATGAATTCCTGTGACCTAAATTGAGAATTAAGAAATCGCTAGATTTATTGACAGGTTTGATTCTACATGGAGAATATATAAACAGTCTATGAATGGTTGGATACTTAGCATAAATTGAGAAACAAGAAATCGCTAAATTTATTTACAGGCGTGTGGAATAAAATAAAATGTTCTAAACAGGAAACCATCCTCCATACACTTTCACGATTTAATAATTTTCTAAATTAGTATCATTTCTTAAAAGCACAATGGAAAAGAAAAATTTTATTAACCGATCAAATGTAGATACTAAATTCTAGTTTCTACAGTTTGTTCTCTGATCAATTATATAAAGCATTGCAAAGTTGTTCAATCGCTATTTCTTAATTAATTAGCACCGTGGAGAAATCTTTTCTAACCATCTTACCAAGAGCGATATTTCTCAATATTATCTGACCAATGTTGTAATTGTAAAATCCACAAATTTTCATAAACTTTATTGCTCGGTTAGAATCAAAAACTTAATTTCTATAATTTTCAAATCCAATACAGAGACAATTCCAAAACTGTTCCATCGTGATTTTGTGGCCAATAACAACGCGTTTTACTTCGGAACAAAATAAATTTTTCTCCGAACAATAATAGAAACTATTCCAATTCTGCTTCATTTGCTAGTTTCCGAAATTTAGTATTATTTATTTTTTCCTTATTTTTAAACTAAAATTCTTCGTTATTCTCTAACGAATCACAGAACTGTTTTGAAGCCATTTCATTGTTATTTTACAGAACTGTTAACCAATTACAGAACTGTTTTGAAGCCATTTCATTGTTACTTTCTTACCAATGACATTTTCTGATCATTGTTATTCCATTATAAATTTTTTTTTATCCTGTTCCACTAAAAATGACCAAGGTATTTGAACAAGGCTTATTTAGGCGCAGTTTTTTCTTCGAATGTTATCGTCGGGCAGGTTTCTTTAAAATCACTAATAATTGCTCACTTTTCGCCAAAAGCGTGTAAGGAATTAAAACAGAAACATTGTATACAATTATCGTTTTTCCGCGAATAAACGATAATGCTAAAAGAAGATAAGTTTAAATTCCGCATCATTCTATAATCGAAAATCACAGATTCAAACGAAAGAGTATTGACTATTGGTATGCAACTTGATTCATCGATATCAATCGATTATTCGTAAGAATAAGAACACTGTCTTTAAATTCGCTTAACACTGAACAGTTTCGAAACGGAAAGAAATTTGAAAAAATCTTTCATTTAACTTGTGATTAATGAGGAAAAATATTCCAAGAAGAGAAAAATCACATATTTAATTCTTAAATTTTCAATCTCTTCCTTCAGGTATTTGCCGCAAAAATGTCATTCAACTAATATATTAATGGTCTGTTTCCTCTACTTCAAGAAATTTGATCGTAATTGTTTTTTGTTAGTTTCATAGAAGTATGCTGTCAAGTTTAAGCAAAGGACATTCGAATCTCAACCCTTTCGCGACTTGACTTGTAGGCCTGGGAGTCGGGAGACAAAGTAAGAGAGAGTTTTAAGATGAAATGCCTCAGATTCTTGTTTTTAATTCAAGAATGTTTCAGACTTTATCTTAGAGCGAGAAGCCAGTATTGGCCCTGATAACTGTTTAAGCAATTTCTCCGCAAATCAATTGTGGCTCACGTAAGAGTTTCCGGACCGGGAGCCCCCTTCCCACCTTCAAGCTTTATACAATACTTAGTAGTTCGATTGTCAATATAAAAGAAACACACCAAATATAATTCGTATTGTATTTTATTGAAATTTCGAATTTCTGTAGTCAATGGTAGTTTTTCATTTTATGCGAAGACTATACGCACTATACGCATTATGATAGGGATTTGACCCGACTCGTATACGCGCCAAACGTGTTTAAATGGTTAAAAGTAATTAGGCTAAATGTTTGTAGACTCGCCTTGGAGCACATGTTAATTAGGCGTGAATGGTGATTGATTAGTTTATCTTGAAGATTTTTGAAGCTAAGGCGTGATAATTAGTGCTGTACGCCATGATTCACGATGGAGAGGCATTTGGAGGAACGGTACGTCATCAAATGTTGCGTTCAGCTCGCCTTATTCACTACGGACGCTTTCAAAGATTACCAGATGGTTATTTTCTATTTTAATTTGTAACCGGTGTTGAATGGCCAATCCATCTTTGGATTTTCGACTCTCAATGTTCCACTCTATAACCTTGTACTTTTAACCCAACCCAGAAGACAAGGGAACTCTTGGGACAGGCATTAGGTCAAACTTGCCTTCATGGAGGAATTTTTGATGCAACTTACATGCATTTGAGTCACATGGAGATGAAATACTACATAGAAACTCCTCCAGCGTGGATTCTAACCTATGATGCGTCTAAAACGAGGAATATTTTAAGTTTGCACAGTACTGAGCCGGGAACAAAGGTCGTTTTGATCGACCCACAATCGCTGGAATTCGAATCTGGGGTCACATCACTGAGTGGAGAAAATACTCTGTCAAATGCTCGAGTTTCAAAGTGACGTCAAGCGTTCAAAGATAGTTAGGAACATAGGAAAGATGGCTAATGTTACTTTCAAACGTCGACTGCCGAAATCATGGGAAGATGAGAAACTATTTGGCAAAAGAGACATTGTGAAATTGATTTCAGATGAGGTTAAGAAATGTGCATCGGCTCATTTCTGTAACATCAAAACTCACTTGTAAGGTTAAAAGAGTTTTGAAATCTTCTTTGCTATCAACTGTGTGAGTTGCAAATGAAGAGCCAATTGATTATGGGTGTGGAAGATTTAACTTCCCTATCAGAGTTACCATTATTGGTGAGGAAATTTTACAAGCAAAAGTTTGGAGAGATAAAGCTGGGAGTGCGGCCGATTGTCGTTGAATTATTGCCGAAAATTTGAAGACACATTTGGCAGTTTGTATTACCGCCAAACGAAGCCACTTCAAATTCTCTTAGTCCAAGCTATAATTATTAATTGTTGTTTTGATAAATTTCTTTAGATTTATGAATATTGATTTAAAATTTTTTTCACCTTTTTCGTTGTCATCCTGCAAATTCTATACAATTAATAATGGCCCTCTCAATAATTTATTCAGCCCATATATTTGATCGTTGATTCCGCAACTACTCGACTTAAAAGCACTACTAGGGTTTTTATCTACCTTTTATGGAGCTTAAAAAATTTTAACGATGATTTCAAACAAAATTTTAAAGTTTTTTTCATCGATATAACAAATGTAAATAATTTCAAGTTAGATATGGCGATAAGCAACAAAGTTTATGCAGGGTGTTCAGCGTAGTACTGACTCATTCCAAAATTAAAAAATTCTGAAAACAAATAATGAAACGAAACGATATGTCTATTGGGAAAGTTGATAAAATTGTATTGTTATAATAGTAAAATTTTGGAATTTATTAACGAAAGTTGTCAAAAGAGGGAGCTGCATATTCCTTAAAATACATACAAATGCCGTAGATAAACCGTAATCAAATCTGTGACATTCCAGTAGTACCAGAAGTCGACAGTGTTTAAAAAAAATACATGATCTATGCATAATAATAAACGCGGCTGTGTGCGTCTGTTTGTCCGTCTGTCTGTAATCACAATATATCGAACCAGAAGCCTCGCCCAGACACGAAACTCGGCACATAATTGTGTTTTGACATAATGAAGAAGTATCTTTTTTTCTTTTTCAAAAATTTGGATTAGTTATTTAGTTATCAGTCATTTTGTAAGTCTATGCTTTTCGTCTGCTTTTTCGTCTTCAAAGAGCCATATTCAAAAAACTATTAAAAAATGCATATACTTTTCCCCACTCTTATAAATGTATGCTAATGCGAACCTTACAATTGAAATATTAATTTTCGACAACTTAAACCAATAATATACGAAGGAATTAATAATTTAATTGTAAAGTTCGCATTAGTTTACATTTATTAAAGTGGAGAAAAGTTTAACTTTTGTATTAAAAATGTGGCAACATATTCGATACGTAAATAGAACGCTTCGCTTTGATATATTTGTCGCTGTTCATAATTGTTATAATAAGTTTTTCTTCTTCTTTCCACGCTCTTTTTTTTTTTTTCTTAAGCGAAGACGATAATTTTTATAGCGATATTGTAGTACTTTGTACAACTAAAAATTCTTTTCACAACACTTTAAAAATATTTACTTTATTTTCTTTATATATACAGAGAACAGTCGGCAAAGAATTCGATTAGGTTGAAAAACATTTCGCTAAAAAGGAACGAATTCCAAAAGAAAAAATAAACAACTTAAAGAATAAAAATGCTGATGCCAGCCAATTTTTTGAAAGTTAACTTAGAAATAACAAACCAAACGATGTTAAATAACAAACCAAACGATGTTAACAAAATGACGTAGAAAGCGCAACTAGATCAAAATTATACAAGCACAACTAGATCAAATTATAATACCTGAGTGCTTGACGTAACAGATATAGAAATAGAATTTGATACCATAAAAAATTATATAGAAATAGAAATTGATACCATAAAAAATTTATTCGTTTTCGTGTTCTTTTCATGTATTTAGCATTTTAGTTTTTTTTTTCTTAAGCGTTGTAGCTATATAATTTCAAACATCCTCAAGAGCTATAACACATCTGCAGCAGAACTGGATATGA